ATAAATTAGGTTGTAAGATTATATTCCGATGGTCGTAAGCAGAAGAAATAAAATTGTGCATCTAGATATCCTGAGCTATCTCTATAGTTATGCTGCTATAGGCTTAGACTTTTGGAGGACATAGGGACCCCCATTTCATCATTCTGCTTCATTCTCTCTCTGTTCTCCTATTCAATTGAGCTATATTTCCACTTTGTTGCTTACCCGACGTCCGATGAAGTTTTACGTTTTCTTTAGCTGTTTTTCTCCATTTTATCTTTTTTATTTTGTTGTTAAGTTAATGCTACATAACTGGGCTTAGTCAATCAACAAGTCACTGACCAATGCTGGGGGTTGGAATTGCATTGCGGCTTTTCTAATTGCGGTTCAAGCTGCGCTCTCCATGGTGCTGAATGCCTAATCGCGTGTATTTTTCCCACAAATTAAATTGTAATTGTAGGAGCTTTTTCTTCATTTTCAGTTTTCGACCAGTCAATCAAACAGTCAGTCAAAGAACAGGTGTAGGAATCGGGGCGAGAGCAATAGAAGAATACTGTTATGCCTATAATTTGTTTGTCTGAACGGAGAATTAAAGCAAGCAAAGAACTGGATTTTTCATTTTAAACTTTTTGGACTGCGTAAGCTCCACGGTGCTTCAGGTGGCTATTTGAGTTTGATTCACCTATTGCTTTGATTACCTTTAAGTCTTAATTTTATTTTGTTTTTTATTTTAGTTTTGAAATAGTCACTACAATAATGTTCGCGTTAATATTCTAAGACAGCTGTTAAACAGCGCCATCTGCAGCCGTAAAATGTAACAGAATGTGGTGGACCACGTCCAACGGCAGCGGAGTGACGTAGTGGTTGCTAGAGCAACTGAGTTGGCGTCACCACTCTCTACTTTCAATTCCATGACTTCGCGTTTCTTCTCGTGGTCTCAAGAAAATTGCACGCCCAGAGAGAAATGACATGTTTATGAGGAAGAGTTCCGCTTAGGTTTTTGTTTTCTGTTTTTGTGTATGTTGGAGCGGTCGCCGCAAAGCTGGACCTGAGAGGAGGAGGGCGACATAGCTGTGTCCGCTCGGTTGTTCCCCAGCTTCGGCCAACATGGCCGAGGATGACAGCGAGTGGATTATAGAGAGCATCGTTGGCTACCTGGGAAGTCCTGAATGGGTTATCCCTGTCACGGACTTTATGGAAAACAAATGCACAGGTAAAATCCGTCCCTTACCTCAGCCTGAACCATATGTTGCTTTGTGAAGCAGCGGCTAAGCTAACGCTAACTTATGATTTTAGTTGCGTAGCCAGTTTTTTATGCTTTCTGCGTGCGTGCATACTTTCATTTAATGATAATTTTGCAGTGGTCCTTGCAGCTCCACAATACTCCTGCTATTTTATTGATTTATTTGTGTTTCTTTTCTTTTTTTTTTTAGTTTTTGACGATGAAGATGAAAATAAGCTTTCATACACAGATATCCATCAGCAGTATAAGAAACTGGTGAGTAAATGTAAAGTTTCTCCACTTCTTACCCCAATGCATTAACATATTAATCATTGCTTAGAATTGCTGACTCGTGTTACGTGGTGAAAGCTGATTTCCTTTCCGTAGGTGGAGAAGCTGCTGGAAAATTATATGCAGGAGGTTGGCATCAACGAGCAGCAGTTCCTGGATGCATGCACCTCTCCCTTTGCCAAGTCCAAATCTTTGCAGGTATTTTGAGCCTCCTCTGCACACCACTGTCAGCCTGCCAGCTGACTTTAATGCAGAGACTGAGTGCAAGGTCAATGCTGGGATTTGCTTATGTAATCTTCTCCTTCCAGAAAAGTTAGTGCTCCCAGTAAACAGAGGCGTAGCCAGAACATTTTTATAAGGGTGGCCAGGCAATAACTAATGTATACTGAGGAGTGGCCAAAAGTGGATAGGCACCAGAACCTCGGGGTCAGTCTACACTGTTCCAACAGGAACGAGCACAACATCCACATTTCTAAATAAAGACAAACTATAGTTTCCTTCAGTCTTTGCCTAGAAATAGATGCATGTATTTAAACATCCGTCTAGATAAAAGCTATATTGGATCAAATTCTTTGAGGTTTGAGTTCTGGAGCAAACATCTTTTCCATCGTCATTACTTATCTACTTTTATCAACATCATTCTACATTAAATTGATATTTACAAGTACTAATATATACATAAATTGATGATTTAATAGGTTTTTATTAAAATAGTTATTTACCGTATCTATGATTTCGTTGAAGACCCTAGTAGACTTGCAGAGACACATAATTTTCACTTTACGGCATATAACACATAATCTAGTTCTGAAAGAGCATGACTTCTGTACTAATAATCTCTAATGTTGGTATATTGATGTGCATAATTAACCACAGTGTTTTTTTTTTGTCAAGTAATTGTTAATATATATATAAAATTAAAATGTTTTGAATATTCCACTTGATAGAAAAAGATGGTAGGGGTGACCAAATTGCAACAAAAGTAAACATTAGCATCACACAAAGATAAAAACTTATCACACTGCATACAGTTGAAACTATAACAGTGTGACACAACTTTTTCTTAAATTAAATCAGGCGTATCCTTCATTATTTTAGGTGGGTCATGATTAACAAGTTAATTTTATTTTCTCAATGTTGGATTAAACTGAGAAAATTTTTATCAATCTTTCTTTGAATTCAAAAGTTGCACTCAGTCCTTAGAACCTCAGTGCTGGTATTGTTGGACTTTGGTGCAGCTTCTGTGTGTCAGTAGGGAACTTTAAATCAGAGACCAGAAGAAAATCACATGTGAGGCTCCATTTTACACAGCTTTACATCACAGTTTCATCAGGTGACTATAAACCCATCAGAGCACAATTCAGTAGATGGACGATTCAAAGTGCTTTACATGAATTAGATAATAAAATTGAATAAAATAAAAGCAGAAGAAAAATAAAAAGATTAGAAAAGCAAATAAAACAATTGGACTACAAAAAACCAGAATAAAAGCCAGTAAAGAAAACATGATAAAAGCAGGTAGAGAAGAAAATTAAACGGTTGCATCACAATCTTAAACTAATAATACCTCAGTTAACAGTTTAAAGGCAGCTCTAAACAAATGGATTTTTAACTTTGACTTAAAAGAACTCAGGCTTTCAGCACTTTTAGTCTTCTGGGAGTTTTCTTCCGATAAATGGAGCATAGGAACTAAATGCTGCTTCTCCATGTTTGGTTCTAGTTCTGGGTGTACAGAGTCAGCTGGAACTAGAAGACAGCAGTAGCTGGTGTCTTCAGATGTTGTTTAATATTTCCTCTGGACTTTCCTTCCTTGTGATCCTGTCTTTTTTCAACTTTATTTAGAGAGCACTTTAAAAAAAGCTACCGTAACAGTTGAAAACAGTGCTGAACACGGCTAAAATAAAAACTAAATAAAAGAATAAAATACAACATAAAGGTATAAAATAAGGTAATAATAAGAATTTGTTTAAGCTAAATAAACAAGGTCAGAACAACTAAATCCTGCCAGTTAAAAGCCAGCGAATAAAAGTAAGTCTTAAGCTGGGTTTTAAAACTTGGCATTGAAGGAGGCTCCCTAATGTGCATTTGGAAGCTGAGGAGCTGCGATGGAGAAGGCTCTGGCCTGCAGGAGCTGCTGTTCTGCTGACCTGAGTGACTGAGGAGGCAAGTAGGGATGAAGAGGCTCAGAGAGATAAGATGGGGCAAGGTCATTTAAATACATAGAAAGAAAGATAAGTATTTTTAAATCGATTCTAAAATGGACAGGCAGCCAGCGGAGGCCATGGCAGGAGGGAGTTGATCATATTTTGGTGTCCCAGCGTTTTGCACCAGACTGGCACACACCAACTTAGAGTCCGTTACAGTAATCCAGTCAAAAAGCATGGATAACTGTTTCAAAGGGATGCGTTGAAAGAAAAGGTTTTAGCTTTGCCATTTGTCTTAACTGATAAAAGCAAGATCTGACAAGGGCTCCAATTTGCTTTCCCAATTTAAAACCACTATCCATCTTAAAACCCAAATTCATGATGAAATATGGAAAATATGGTATCATGTGTCCTTGGAACCTGCACCCGGGCATAGTGCTACCCCTAAGTACCAGGGTTAGTGGACCAGATTTTCACTGGCACTGAAAATTAACTGTGGCTAACCGTGCCAGATCAGCAGTGATTAGGTTTGGGATTTGTTTGCAGTCCCCAGGGGTTTAAACTCATTAATTATCTCAAAGGTAAACAGTTGCTTACTGCAAATACTGTGTTGATTGTCTTAAACACAGATTAATGTGGGGAAAGAAGATGGTGTTTATTTATGTCTTATTGCATTTGTGGTTAAGATGATAGTTCTTTATGCTTGGCTCAGTTCCCAGGCAGATAAAGCTTTCTCAGCAATGTACTGATGACTCTATCTGGGGCATAGTGGTGTCAATGTATTCAGTTTATGATTGAGGGCATAAAATGTAACTGATAAATGTTCAATGTAATTATGCTGCAGAAGCATAATATGTGCCGTAGCTCAAACTATTTTAGGTTGATGTGGAGAGTTTGTAAGCAGCTATTTTCATATCCCCACAGATTTTTGATTGGGTTTAGATTGACTGGGCTTTTAAAACACGTGGATAAATATCAATTAGTGGTGAGAATCTTCACCAGCATACTGTATTAGCCTCGAACTCAATGCTTTTCCTGACATTTTGAATTGAAGAAGCTTCCTGGATTGGAAGCAAAACATCTACAAAAGTGGAAACAAAGTCCAATGGATTGTTTTTAACTTTCTTTTTTTTTTGAATGATTATGACCTGGATGACTGAGAATTTTCACCAGCATTCCTTAGTGCATTCATTATTTCAGCAGCATTCATCACTTTAAGTGCTGCTGTTGGTGACAAAAGGTGGATCTTGGAGCTTCTAAGAGGCTGTTTTGAGCTGTATCAGCTTTCTTATTGATAAATCTCCTGACCAGCTTTGATTCCATTACCATAGAAAGTTCCTCCACAGCCTGATGCCTCCACAACTATGTCTTACTGTGGGAGATCCTTTGTTAAGGGTGCAGAGTTAGTTTCTTCCCCTATATTTTTCATGTTATCCATAGGTCTGTCATCTGACCACACAACCTTCTTTGGTGTCTCCCTACTTTTCCGGCTAGATTGTTTGAGCTAAAAACTAATGTTGTCCTTTCAATAGAATTTTCATCCAGGTCTGTAGATCTATAACATAGATGGACAATATTCACTAGGGGTGTGAAGAAAAAAATCTTTTCTGTCAAATATATGATCTTTCATCACAGGATTTTTGTATGGATTTAACATACCGTACTTATATTGAGATATTTAATTTAACTGTATTGTTATTGCTTTACAATAGGACCGAATTGAATTTTAATAAAAAAAAAAAAATATATATATATATATATATATTTATAGAAAAGTTTCTATTTCATTGTCTTACCTTTATATAACCCTTTAACCTCCAGCTGCTACGTGGCAGTGCAGCAACCAAGAGCCTTTTATTCAGCTTTTCTCCACCAGCTGCAGTAGAGCAACAGCAAGATCTCTTATGTTTTCCAAAGCTACATTATTATAAGAATCGTAATATATTGTCTTTGTTAATATATCATGATACGTATCGTATTCACATAATTTCACACCCCTACTTTTTACAGGTTAAATGACTTCTGAATAATAATAAGAAGCTGCTGTTGGTTTGTTATTGTACAGGGTACAATATTCATATATGATTTCATTTAGCAGCGTCTCTTTTATCAGAGTCAACTTTGGTTCCACTTAAAAAGGGAGCCGGGTTTTTTTCTTTCTTTAGGGGTACCAAAGGAGCCCAAAGACAGTTTCACACTTCAAAAGTTTAATTTTTAAAATCATTTAATTTAATATTTTTCTCTTCAGCATTATGTGCTACTATGTTACGGTAATTTTATCGAGATCAGACAAAGAAAGCAGGGAGCTAAATTGTGAGAAAGAAATGGTGCAAGTGCATTGCACTAAATAACATTAAGGACTTTGCCAAACTGTTGCCCAGGTGAAGGATCGACTCCTAATAGAACAGGAAGCACGTGTATAGGATTAGCTGTAAGTATAGCAGTGTTTGAAAACATTGCCTGGTTTATTAGGGCATTGTTTGATTAAAGTAGTGCAGGTACTGTATGTACAAAAGTGGTTGTTTGGCCCACAACCATAATTCAAAAGTCACATAAATTTGCTTTGCCAACTTAGTCTAAAAGAAATGTCTATTAAAAATGTGCAATTTGTATTTTTTACTGATGCAAGACTTAAAAAAAAAAGAAAGAGCTAAATGGAAATATTCTGTCAGGGCAAACTCAAGTGCCACACAAAATATTTGTATTTTTATCAGCCTTGTTTGTTTGGTTTTGATAATTTTAATTATGAATAATGATTAAATTAATATTCCTAAAAAACCAGACTCTATTTACAACACTGAACAATATCCTGTTGTAGTTGGGGAAAATACACCTAGAAAAATTCAGACCATTATAGTTATAGTCAACCTGAGTACATTCTATGCTTATTCTGATTTTTTTTTTTTTAACCAGGCAAACCTGTAAGATCTCTTCTTGTATTTAATGTCTAAAATGACTTGCAGATCATTTTTTGCTTGGAGTAATTTTTCATTTACTTATTAGGTGTTCACAATATTGTTTAAACAACCGTGCAACTTTTAGCCACTAGGGGCGCTAGACCTGTAACTCACAGGCCACTTGCTGCACTGCACTTTGCCTCCCTCCTTCCATGTTCTGGAATCTGATAGCAGACAATAACTTTTAGCTTTGTTCGCTGTTGTATTTAAGGGAAGTTCAGCCATAAGCCAGAAAGTTAGATAGAGGATTTCTGGAGAAGAGCCACCTGCATGGAACATTGATGTACATCAAGTGTCGGATGTTGACTTGAAAAGTCATCTTATGTATCCCAAATACTTAGGTCTAAACATTTGCACTGTTGCTATAAGAAGGTAAAATTGAACAATAAACAGTTTATTATGTTGGATAACATGACAAAAAGTAAGGATACCCCCTTTTTATCCACATGTATTTCTTGTCCATAAATCACAGCAAGTTAAACTCATTCACAACCAGGTCATATCAGAATCAATGTTTTATAAATAGGTATGTCATTATCAGGATTACTTGAACCTGTATTGAGCTGGTCCATAGCCTAATCTTTTTTTTATTCTGCCTTTTACACCAGTTACCATGGTTGTCATCATCATTCCCACATTCTTGTTATTTAATAAGTTTGTATTTCTGTTTCTAAGGCCGTGTTCCAGCCAGTTCTGGCTACAGATGACTTTCAGATGTTTCGCTCACTGATGGTTCAGAAGAACACAGAGCTGCAGCTTCAAGCCCTTCGAGTCATAAAAGAACAAAACGGTAGGTGGAAGTACGGAAGGTTTATCCAAGCTCTCTGTCTCTGTGTGGTAATGCTGCAAATCAAATCTCCGTGTAAAGGGGCCCTCCCAGAGTGTCTGACCGATGGGGTTGATGTGATGACAGAGTTGCAGCAGCAGGAGATGAAAATCCTGGAGGATGTTCTAAAGTAGGTTTACTTTCTTTTATTTATGCTCCTTGAATTTCTTCACTGTATATTTGTTGTTTTTTTGTGAATAAGTGAGCAGGCATCTTACAGCTGCTATACCCCCAGCTCTCTAATGGGATTTCACCAGTGACAGCCAGGCCAAATAAAACACAGGGAATCCAATAGGAATGCAACTAAGCTCATTAGCTCTCAGCTAATTGCAGTTAGCAGGACTGAAATTTAGAGCACTGAGAATATTGTCTTTTTCTGATTGGCTACCTTCATCCACCCTGCACTGATGCAGTAAATCATGCAATAAGGGATTCATTATTATTGGTCTTAGGCAATATTCAAATTTCCTGGTTGGTTTTGAGGTTTCCAGTTGCTGTGAACCATAATAATCATCATTAATAAGTAAAACAATTAAGATATATATTACTACCATTCTTGGCATTTGACGAGAAATAATTCATGTTCCTTACAACAGATATGAAGAACCATTTGTTTCGTGTCTGAATGACATTTCATAGATACTAACCTGTTTGCTACTGACCTGTGTCACCTGCTTAGAAAGTCAAAGGAAGAGTATGATGAGGAGATGTCCAGAAGGCTGCTAATAGAGAAACAAATGGGTTCCACTTCCAGCAGCTCCTCAGACAAGCCAAATAAAGGAGATGAGGCTCGGAGCGCAGCGTTAACTTCAAGCAAACAGAGCAATACTTCCAAACCCACATTAGGTGAGTGATGAGAAGCAAAGACCAGTGAAACTACTCTGACAAAAGTGAAGTTATTGTACAAAAACAAGCTAATTGTTATCACCAAGCAGATTGATTGCTGTTTTCATAGAAATTGTATTTCTGTATGAAGAATAATTTTCTTGTATGTCTATTTAAGTAATATAAGACTAACAAATCCAACACTCATGGCATGCATGCTGCTTTCTCTTGGTAAATTATTCATTATTCTAAAGGGGGTGCATGTAAAATAACATGGAGTCTAATCTGTGTGGTCATGCATTTTTTTAAAACAAACCAGTCAAACAGGCAGTTTGTTAGACAAAGGCAGCTGATTGTATAGTGAAATGGGACATTCAACGGATCATTTAATGGTTTGAAGTACCGGTAATTTTTTTTAACTGAATTCAAACATAGATTTGAAGCTAACACAAGAAAGTAAAGCAGTCAACTCATTTAGCTACACTGAGGTCAACAGCTACATTTTAGGAAATCTAAAATGTCTGCATCTCCGTCTCACAACCTGGATGTTGGAAGTAGGGTTTAACCAGCGGTGAAAGTTCATAGAAATTCTTGCTGGTACTATATAAAAAATATCCAGCCAGCCAGGAATCCAGACCTCAATTTAATAGATAATTAAACCAAAACATTATAATATTCAAAGGAAACAGAGAAAACGTTTTTTATGACAATACAGGAAGACATTTACATTTTACTTGAATAAATAGGCCTAGAATCAGGAACTATGAGAAATTGTCCAAAACGATCTATTCACACTTTCATCTGGAGCTTAAGCAAAAAATAAACAGTAAGCAATAAATATTTTTTGTGATATAATTTAGGGATTAATTTGGTAGAAATTGATGTTTTGCATCACCTCTTGTGATCTGGAAGTAATAAAAGCCTTAAAGCTTGACAGAAGCACTTTTTTGCGTTTGGCAGATGGTGTTTATCAGCCACATATAGTTTATTAAGTAGCGAGGGCAGAGTTGGCTGTGAAATGAGCCGCTGAGCGAATTGACGTTAGAGGCAAGCGCAGATGTGTGGGAAATTTAACTCTTGCACATTCGTCTCATCGAGTTTGTATCTGTGCCCTTGTTGGCACAAAATAGTAGCCAGCAGCTCTTCCTGGAGCTGAGTACCACCCTAAATGTTTTACTGGTATGAAGTACCGGACCGCTCTGGCTTATTCTCACCCTGGTTTTAACAGTAGGCAATGAAGTTAGCTGAAAAAGCCTGTCTTTACTGCTGGGCTTCCTCAGAAACAGAAATAAAGAGGAATTGTAGAATGTAGTCCAGTCATCCTGCACTGGGATATCTGTTCACAGGTACCAGAACATCAAAGTCAAATTCCCCAAAAGAGAACATATTAATATTGTTATATTTCAGAAGATATAAAAAAAAATAACATAAAAGCCATTGGTTGTTTTTTCATGTGTGCAGGTAGCAGCGTTCAACCCAATCTTCTTCCAGCTGTTAGAGCTCCAACTAAATCTAGTGAGTCCTCTGATGCGAACAGGCATCAAGCAGAGGAGCAGAGCAGCAGCACGGAGGCTGCAGCAGAGGCCTACCTGGAGGAGGCACACCGGGAAGCTGGATTCTCTAAGCCATACACTGTGAGTCTAAACGTTTGTAAGGCTTTAACCGCCTTCATCCCATCTGTTTACTCTGATGATAGCATAGATCAAAAGTTTCTAGAACCATTTCAGGTTGGTAGAGCTGAGAAAGGAAATTCAACAGATTTTCATTCAAACATGGAATCCCACGACGATGATGCCTGTCTTACTGATAGATGGATTTCTGCAGGATATAGAGATATTTTATCCAAACATTTTGAGGAAGTATTAAAATGTGACATTCTGCTTTGGTTAATATTCTCTATATCCATTTCATTAAAGGGTTGCATTCATTTCCTGGGTTTTTTGTGTTTACTTGTTTGCAGGAGCTGTCACCGTCACAGCAGGAGCAGCTCCAGCAAAGGGCAGCGTATTTGCGTCAGCAGAGAGACAAGCTTCATGCCCTGAAAAGAGAAAAGCAGAAAAGTAGACAGGCAGCTGAACCAGAGGAGCCATCACACACTCCTCCACTAGAACCCGCCACCAATTTGGTAAGTGGAGCCTGTTTCTGTCATTCTTTCTCCCCCAAAAAGAATTTCATCTTTAGTAGATTTCCTCCCTAATTTGTAATCTCTTTCATCCATAGTCCAGTGGCTCTGAATTGGAGCCTGATAAATTTAGGATCCTCCACATAATTTATACATTTTTTTAAATTTCCCATTTCATCGATTTTAAATGGCTTCGCTCTGGATTTCCTCATGTACCCCAGATGTTTTTTTTGTTCATTGTTCTTCTTCTTGTGTCTGATGTTATCCGGTCTGGCCTCTCAGGAGGGAGTGGGACAGCCCCAGATGAATGGGGACAGCTCCCCTCTTCCTGCTTCCATTTCTCCAACCCAACACGCTCCCAACTCTACCAAACAGGTGATCCATCAGCACCCTGATGTGCACACTTGCAGTGCCATGCAAAACGTTTTCACACCTCCAAACTTTCTTTTGCTAGACATTATTGTCACAAACAAAAATTTGATAATTAAGGAGTGTATTTGTACTCAGCCACATGTGATACACCTGGTCATTAACGAATGGGGGGCATTAGGAAAACAGCAAACAGGTCAGGGAGGAAGCTGTAGAGATTTAAAGTGAAGCTTCAAGATGGTTTTATAGAACAATATCCATTGCCATGGAAGGGTATAGATCCAAGCATATTTATTTGTGAGAGCGGCCTAGTCAAAGTCCAGACCTGAATCCAACAGAGCATTAGAGCAAAGAGTTACATTGCAAAGTAGCTAAAAACTAAAATACGTAGACTTGCAGCTGTAGTTGCATCAGAGAGATGCTTTGGTTTGAGCTGAATACATATGTTAAGTTTTTCAAGTTTGGATTCACAAAATTGAAAAATAATGTTTTCTTTTCATATCAGTTACAGTCACAGCCATTCAAAGTGGCCCTTCCCAGTCAAACGGCAGCTGAATGGCAGCCCACTATAGCCACTGGCAAGACCCCTCCTTCTCCTGGGATGCATATTTTTTAACTCTGACTCCACCCTTTTAATGAATTAGAGGGTCTGACCAGGAGAAGGTGCGTCTCTTTAGATCCTAATGCCCACAAATCATGACAGAAAGAATATTTTAGTACAAAGATTGATGTTAAAAAAGGAATCTCAGGGGACCCACCAAGGAGAGGGGGGACATTTTGAATGGCTCATACTGTAAAGTTGGAATCTACAATAATGTGAGAAAGTTCAATAGGTGTGGATACTTTTGGGAGCTGTACTCTGTGTTTTTCTAGTGTTGGTTGTTTTTTGTGTGTGTGTTTTGCCTTTTGTCCCACACATAACTCTCTTAGACACATAGAGGTTATACCAGGTCATTTATTAACATTTATTAACATTAACGCTGATAACATTTCAGCTTTTTCAGCTGTTGCTTAGCATGGTTAACCTGTGATCGCTTCACACAGGAGATATCTGCAGAGGAGAAGAAGAAACTCCAGAAGAGAAAGCACCTGGCCGACAAACTGAAGGAGGAAGTAGTCAAGAAATAACTCCAACTCTGTACGCAATAAGTTATCCTGTCTCTTCTCAGATCTGAACACTTCATGCTTTGTACTCACTTGTAATTCACTGTATATAAAACCTTTTTTGTTTTTATTTTCATAAGACCGAAAGGTAGCTAAATCGACTCTATTTTTTCATGCCGTCCAAAGTGGTGCGTTTTATTTTGGGTTGTGGGTAAACAGCCCTAAACTTCAGGTTGACTGAAGAAATTTGAAGATATCAAGCCAACTAAATTAAGAGTGTAGCTGTATCCTGCTCAATGATTGGTCAAAAATCACTCCCTAGTTCTGGATGTAGTGCATTCATTTTCTCACCATGTTGGAATCCAGTTCCCATTTGAGGATGCTTATGTTTATTTATCCTAAAATGTCATAATGCATTCAAATCTGTGTTCATGGTTTGTAAAGTAGCTTGTAAATATCTCCAGGACTACAGCAAGCAACTCATGATCAGTTTTTCTTCCTATGGAAATACTGACCTTTCTTGAATATCCATCCATGTTATTTTTTTCTACTTGTGATTATGTTGGATACAGACTTTTAGATTAGGTTATTACATTTTAAGTGTTTCGGCTCAAAAATAATCTGTTTACAATCAGAGGAAGCAAATTAATACATCACCATTGGGATGTTAGTAAAAATGGGTGGTGTTGCTCCATATAGTGATAAATCACAGCTACATCTTCCTAATTCAGACCATTATGGTACTTATTTCAGGAACTCAACTCAAAAAGTGAATCTCATCCAGGTTCAGTAAGTGATATAAAGATAATTTTTTTCTTTTGATAGCTTAGGAAATCCAAATGATCATGTATTGTTCTTGAAGAAACATGGCAGTGCTGCAGGGTATCTGCACCCAGTCAAATTAGCATCCAGTCATCATGAATGAAGTCTAATTTTCATCTTTTAAACTAAAATGTTTATGATGCACCCAAAAAATGCTCTTAAATCCCTTTTGCAGCAGTAATAGAAGTTATGGAATATTCATAAGCACTGAAAACTAAACCTGTGATAACAGCTTTGTTTATGCTGGTGCTAGGTTTTGCATGTTCTGCTTTTCAAAAGTTTCCATTGGCAAGGATCTTCTGTTCACACGGTTGATCTTTATCTTAGTAGAGTTCAAGGGATTAACACTAATCACATATTCCTAAAGGGGCCAACTAGGGGGACGTGTTGCTTTACATAATGCAGTATTCGTCCACAAAGCAACCAGCAGTTTTCCCTATAAGCATTTATGTTTCTGTGTATGCATGTTTATGTAATGCTGTTTTAATAAATCACATTTTGTAGAAACACAAACTCCAGGCTTTAAAATGACCGTGCAGGTCAGACTGTGGCTTGTTAATCTGTTGTAAGCTTGTAGAAAGGTGTCACCTGTTAAATCACAAATTAGCATCTATTTACATCCAGATACGCAGATCATACCAACAACCAAAAAAGAATGAAACCATCAAATTTCAAAAGTTCGATGTCAGGATCACATTTAATTTCAAAACTTATCAAATAAATTCATACAAATGTTAAGAATGGACAGTGGTACTAAATGCACTTGGTACAAGTTGAGAGCAGAAATGGTCACTGCTGGGTGATGCTGACAGAAAGGAGCAAAGCTGCTCAGCTCCAGACAAGCACATTGGCATCTTAGACGTTCCAGCCACACTGCCTTTATCCTCGTACTCATGTTTTCAATCCCTTCATCTGACTCTGTGCGTTTTGACTGAGTAAAACAAAGTAAATTTAAAATCTACACCGCCTCAACCATAAGGGCCAAATCATGTCGCAATCAGATGAAAAGAAGCTCATCCATTCATACTTACATTGCATCAAATTTTTCCTTCAACTTATTTCACTGCAGTTTTAAAATAAAGCAAATATGGAGCAAATGTGCTCAGGAATATCAGCTGGTATGGATATGAAAGACTTTCAGCTCCAATGAAGTGGGGAATTCTGCACCTGTGATCTGTGTGAACGGCGAGTTACTCAGCCTTATGGAAGGTGGAGCTTAGGTCAAATGAAACCAGAGCAGAATGTTTGGCTCTGGATTACAGAAAGGCCACCAAACCCAAACTGAAGAAAATCCTAACATCCTCCAAATGGTGTCTTCAAAAGTGACATTGCTGCAGTATTAATATTGATTTTTTTCTTTTTTTAAACCTGACATTTAACCTTTTCAGAAGTTTACACTGACTCAAACAGAAGGGTGAACAGTGATCCCCACCTTTTTCTGTTATGACAAAATAAAAAGAAAAAAGGCAGGTGGGCATCTCCCTCTTTTTAAAACCACATTGTGGAAATATGGGTAGAAAGAGAAACATATATACAGTATTTGAACAGACTTGTGAAATGCAGGACTCCTGGCTAACACAGCCCCGCAAAACATTGTGTTTGTGTTCTGATGCCATGGCTTTTAACGTTTGAGTCCTGCTCTACTGGAGCTCAGCAGCATCACAGCTGAGTGTTCATCCACATTTCGCTTCGTCACCTCCCCCCCTTCATTTAACATTTCTATGCTGCCCTGAATCTGAAACAATCTGCTCCAGCCAGCCGAGCTCTCAGGGCTAGTCCTGCTAGCCTGGACGGCCAGCTGAACAGTTGGTGCTGGCTGGCTGGGTTTAAGTTTTCTGCCGTCTCTTCGGTTTGGTTCGGTGATGGATGTCAAAGACTGTTGTTGTGCTGAAGCTTCCTGGCTTTTGCAGCGACAGAAATACAGAGGAAAAAAAAGGAGGATAGGACTAAACCAAGGCTTGTTTGACAGCTGAACGCTGAAGGAAAAGTGGAGGAAAACAAGTGAAAAGCAAGGATGGTTCCTTTAGAGAAGAGAGATTTGGATTTCCTGACTGGATTGTTTTTAATAAAAAAAAAAAAAAAATTTAACTCAGTCTACAGAAACAGACTGCAATCTGTCTTTCCAGAGAAGCTCTCCGCCTCCTTCCAGAGAGGGAGCAAGGAGCAGAGTTCAGGACTGAGAAAGGCGGGTGGCTCATCTCATTTGGTGCAACACCTCAGAAGGACCAAAGGGCGGCACCGGCAGGCTGAGAAAGCCGGGGGAGAAGGAAGTGGGAGGGACGTGACGTCCGCCCACCATGGCCAAACCAGAGAGGACTATTATTAGCCTTAAGAGCTCAGACGGGGTCGCTTTCTTGGAGACTCCTCCACCTCCTCCTCTTCTTCTTCTTCCTCTTCATCCTCATCATCAGGGTAGTCCACCAAACCGACAAGAGCAGTCTAAATGAAAAAGAGAGGGGGAAAAAAACTTACACAGTTATTTTAAATGGTTTTCATGGTTTAATGGTTTAAATCCACACTTATGGACATGGGTTACCTTAGCAACAGGAGTGGCAGGAAGAGCAACTGTTTTGACAGAGGAAGATGAACTGTTCGAAGTGACGGCTGGTGAGGCAGGTGGTACCGCGGCAGACTTGGCGTTGTTGGCTCCGTTGGCGGCTCCTGCGGTAACAGACGGCAGCCATGTTTAGATTCAGGAGTTGAATCAAAGGTTTCCAGGAAGCTGAATACATTCACAGCGGCGCAGCTTACCCTTTTTGGCTTCCATGAACTTCTCATAGCTGTCAGAGAAGTCTTCGTCCATCCTCCTCTCCACAGTCTCTCCCTCGTCATCTTCGTCGTCATCGTTGAACCACAACTCCTCATCCTCGTCCAACGACCGTGCGTCTCTGCGATATCTGATAAGAACAAATTTGAAACATGATGTAAAAAGCACCATTTTGCTTATACAGAACTTTAAACTGATCCGAATCACTTCACTATGATGATCCTCATTCCAGCTGTTAGTAAGTCATCTATTTCATCCCCCTTAACACTTTAAAATAGGATCTATAGTTTTGCTGCCAGGTCCTTTCAGAAGTGTTCTTTATAAAAGAAAAAAAAAGCCTATAGAAATGTGGATTTTTAGAACCTTCCAGCTCCCAAACCATCCCTCTCAGGAAACCATCCAGGAAAATATTCCCGTTACTTCACTCACCTGTTGAGTTTTTGACTCTGCCTGTCTTTTTCCTGCTCGTATCGACCTTTCAGGCCCTTAAACGTCTGAACATACTCGATGGATTCAAGTGCTTTGTAGAAATTATCCACAATGTGAGCTATGAGAGATTTGATGTCCTCCTGGGAAGAAAAAGAACAATTAACTTTTCAGAAAGGCTAACGGTTTTTTTTAACCGAGGTTTGGATTTCACATTGACGCACCACTTTGATGAACTCAAAGAGTTCGATGATGGCCGAGTTGAGGAGGTTGTATCGGGTGCCGTTGTCCAGCAGGGCATTTATGACGGGCTCAAACAGGTTCCCTTTGATGATGTAGCGGTTGTAATACTCGTCTTTTAGTCCAATGATTCTGCGCATGAAACGCAACGCGCCTTTGGCCAAAGAAAAAGTCAGTTTTAATGCAGTGTTAGATGCAAATGAAATAGAAGTCAACCATTGCTGTACGATTTTGGGGAAGGACGACTTAATAGGTTTGTAGATTGGGACTTACAAAGAGCAAGGAAGGTATGTTTGGAATTCATGAGCACCAGAACTCTCCTGAGCAGGTCTTTGTTCATAATATAGGTCTTGATATGGTAGGTATGGTGCTCCACACAGAACGTGAGAAGCTCCAGGATCAGTGCGAGCAGCTGAGCTGTTTGAAAGTTGTCTACACACACACACACACACACACACAAAAAATGCCTCTGATCAAAACAATTCAAACATTAAATAAGTCAAGTTAGATTAATAAAATCCATCAGAACCCACCTGGACAAACTGGATTCATCTTTGCAGATCCTTCTGGATGATCTGAAAGGCCACAGCAGTGAGTATCAAACATCTTACAGTCAGAAATACGGTGCTTCTATGTGTCTAGTTTACCTTTCGAGTTCTTGTCATGCGCAGTATTGGCCAGAAGAGGAGCGGTCAGGACGTGCATGCAGTACTTGTAAAAGAAACCCAGGAATTCTGTCTTCTCGGTTTTCTGGAAGAAATTAGGTTGAAGTGCATCAGTTTAAATCTGTACACAGTTTAGTCATTCAGTGCCCCAGTATGGTTAGTTTTGTCTCATTATTAAAAAATCCAATAGACTATAGAGATTTTATATCGTCATAATAAACCAAATGCAAAGCATAACTGAAAAGGAGAAGAAATGAATAGTTTGAGGTTTAGAAGAACTTTAAAACTGTAGCTTTGCACACATTCTCTAATGGATTTATGTTTGAGCTTTGACTAGGCCATTCTAACATATTTTTGAACCTTAATGCATTTATTGTAGCTCTGATTTCAGTTTGTCCTGTAATAAGACAAACCTTCACGTCGGCATCTTTTAGTGTCTCTAGATTCTTTTTCTCCTTAGCCACATTTACATTTACGATTTATGTTCTGTGAAGCACCAATCAATCGAAAACCTTCATGTATTTAGGCAATCAGACAGATCTGTATACATTAGATGCCTGCCCGCTTCGGGTGGATAGCAAACACCCATTATGAAGCTTTAGTGAGCAGAGAGCTAGAAAAGTGGATGTAAAGTAAATGATGAAGCACTCATGGTTGGAAAAAACCTGTCTTTTGGAGAACCTGAAACAACAAGTCCTAGCACAATCAAAGTTTTAAGCAGCGCTTATACCAGAAGTCAAGCAGACTCTATGCACACTGTAGTTTTTACCTTTATAGTTTAGGGCACCAATTTCCCAAATTTCTAATTATATATTCCCACATTTCCCAAACTTTCTGCAGTGGGTTTAAATGGAGAAAAGGATGATCTAGCTCTAGTCTAGTGCCGTTTCTTCCCCACCAGTTATCCAATATGAAGCTATGCATCCAACAGCTGCACCACACTAAGGGCCTGATGGCCAGGAATACAGTGTACTGAGAAGACTTCATCCGTCTAGTTTAAAAAATAAATGAATAAAAGTAACCCACATCACATCTCATCCAAAGTCATTATTCCACAGATGTGTCAAACATGTCCTAGGAAAGTTTTGGGGCTTTTTTTTTGTTGCTATGAATGCAGAGCGGAAAGACATCAATATGTAAACTAAGATTGGATCTGTAAGGTATTAAGAGCACTTCACAGGAAAGATTCATTTTATACAATCTGGAATGAGGCTGCTCTTAAAATGTTGAAAAAGTGAAGCACAGTGAAAGCTTTTCAGGTGCACTGTAAATATTTATTCATATATTGCAAGAAATTATCAGGTAAGGCACTGTTATTGTGTTATTGCAGGTTTTCCTCATTCCATGCAGTCCTAGTTGAGTCGCATTAATATTAATTGTTACAGGCATAAGGCAATGTGATAAAATGTGAAAA